GTGGAACACTTGCTATGTGATGGCTCAGCTCTAAGGGTTTTGCTTGCACTAACTCATCTCATCTTCATAGCAACCCTGGGAAGTAGAGACAATTGTTGTTGCCCTTTTATACATACAGAATCTCGCCTAAGGGCAGACAGCTAGCAAACACCGGCTAGCAAATACCGGCTAGCAAACACTGGAGCCCGGACTCATGGTGAGGGTTCTCGACACCTGTGGACATATGTGTACCTTGTGATGTAGGAATACAATATTGTCATAAGCATATCAGTTATTAAAATATTTGTACATATTTCAGAACTAGCCTATATATTTTAGTATGATAATATTTGACATAATCGAGATGTGACATTTATGCTTATTAGAGCCACACGGATACGATATGGAAATATACAACTCAATACATACACAATCTAACCATGCATGCATGCAAATATTACTATTTAACACTCCTGGATCGTCTGTATCCAGGCTGAGATCTGCATCTCTGCTTGGTTCCAGAACAGGCCTCTGTAACTACAGATTTTGTCGGGTCAGGTCACATACTGGTCCTCTGGGGCTGTGATGTTACTTTGACTAAGTAATGCTAAATGTTTTCTATTAATAAAAATGTTGGTTAGGCCAGGCTTGCATTTGCCCACATTGGCTTCTCTGCATCTTCTTTAGATAATGCAGATTCTTTTTGGAAAAGGTTGTGATAATTCAATTCTGATTCTCCCAGCACTTGTCTAACTCAGGGGAAGAGGTGTTTATTGGCCTGCAGGCCTGGAGGCCTGAAATAAGCGTAGTTTATTTCAATTAAAGTACTATGAGGTCCCCACCTCAGTGGCCAATTAGCCTAAGGAATATGGAACCCTGAGTTCCACCTTCCCATTTTATCTGCCTCTCTAACAGCTGTTCCCCATTCTCTCAGGGAAGCAAGCTGTGTTTAATTTTGACTTTGAGAAGCTGCAAATCACGAGTGTATCATTTGTGCTTATTTTTTAATTATGGTAAAATAAACATAAAATTTACCATCTTAACCATATTTAAGTAAACAGATCAGTGCCATTAAGTTCATTCCCATTGTTGTGCAACCATTGCCACATCCATTTCCAGAGCTTTCTCATCTTCCCAAACTGAAACTCTGTCCCCATTAAACAACTCCCCATTGCCCTTCCCCAGCCCTGGCAGCCACCATTCTACTCTCTGTCTCCACGAATTGGACTACTCTAGGCACCTCGTAAGTGGGATCAAACAACATTTGCCCTTTTGTGACTGGCTTATGCACTTAGCATAATGCCTTCCAGGTTCATCCATGTTGTCGCATGAGCCAGAATTTCTTTCCTTTTTAAGGCTGACTCATATTCAGGCTGACTGTGTATGTATACACCACATTTTGTTTATCCACTTATCTGCTGATAGACACTTGGGTTGCTTCTGCCTTTTGGCTATTGTGAATAGTGCGGATGTGATCATGGATGTACAAATATCTATTTAGTCTTTGCTTTCAATTATTTGGGGTATATACCTAGAAGTGGAATTGCTGGAATCATACAGTAGTTCATTTTTTAATTTTTAGGAACCACCATACTATTGTATTTTTTACAGAGCTACAGAGGATGGGCAGCTCTGTGGCTAAATCTAAAAGATCATAATAAACTTAGGTTTATGGAAAATTTGAAGTAATTCATTGAAGGGGTTGCAGTTTTGCTTTTTCTTTCTCATTTACCCATTTATTTGAGTTTTACAAACTTCTTTCTCTTTAAGGATCAGTCAAAATAATCTACTATTACTAGCATATAGACAGTATTATATGATAATGTAAAATACATAACAGGAGAGGCAAGCTGTATGAGATGTGCTGTTTAAGGAAGATTTGAAACAGTGAAGATTATTGCTTGGCTGTCCTGGGCATCTGTTCACTCACCTGCACTGTAGTCTTCCACTTTTACAACAAACATGAAGCCCTTTGCCGTTCGCACGGGACAGTGAAGCATCACATGTTCTGTAGGTGTCTGGACCCTGGTCTCACGACTCTAACCCACACTGTGCCCACGCCAGCAATCCAGGGATTAGGCAGTAATGCAGCTGAGTGTGAAGGCTGGCACGGGCCGGCAAGGCCCACAGAGACCCAAAGATCCCAGACCCTGAGGCCAACCACTCTTCCTTTCTGGCCACCTGTTGCCCTGTGGGAATGCAGGCCCAGTTTTCCAGGTCTTTCTAATTTCCAGGAAAAGCAAGAAATCTGGATTTTAATGTGAAATCTCCTAGTTGTTAAGTGCTAGCCACTTATTCAGAAAAAAGTTTTAAAACATTTCACAGGCCAAATGAAAGCTCACTCGCAGGCACATGCAGCCTGGGGCCATGAGCGTGGACTTCTGCTGCCCTGGAACACAGAGGGCATGCCTGACCAGCACCTTGTTCCCCCAGGGTGTCTATCAAGAGGGAATGAATGAACCAAGAAGTGGAAATACAGGTGAGTCTCCAAGAAGCTAATGAAGCTGTAGCTTCTTGGCCCCTTACTTACCCGGGGCCATGTATTTTATAACTTTTCCAAAGTAAGAAACTTCAACCACAAACTTCAAAGGATGGCAGGTTCTTTCCATTCTGGCCTCCTCCTGTCCGGGCGGGACTGAACTGGCGGAGGATGTTCTTGGGGAACCGCAGAGGGGAAGCATTTAGTCTGAGAGGAGAGGGGTGTGTTTTCGTGGTTAGGACAAGTAGCGTAGCGCCTCGGGCCACAGCAAGACTGCTCTGCTTTGACCCTTGTCTGATACTGAGTGAAAAGATTCTGGGGCCAAATGATTGCACCCATCAAGAGCCCAAGCCTCACATTCTGCACCGCACTTGGGATCCTGGAATTTCCCGCCTGGCACCTGGACCTGCTTCCCAGGCCAGCCTGAGACCGAGGGTGACTGTGACCAAGCCCGCCAGGCTCGACCTGCGTTGCGTCCTTTTGGTCCTTATTTAGTGGATCTGAAGACTCCCGCTATCAACTATCCAAACAGCACGTCACTAACCCCACCAGCTACATCTGTCTGCAGGTCATTATAATGGCGGGTGCTTAAAGTTGTTTATCAGGAACCAGGGGGCAGCTCTTGTCTGGTTCCTGCAGCTAGAGAGCCCAGCGCTCCAGCTGGGCCTGCGCGAATGCCCAGCGATAACCTTTGGACTTCAGAGGACCAAGAACCCCTCCCTCGGACCACGCTACTACTGCCATTTCTGAGCACGGGCCTGGTGAAGAAGCCGTGTCGCTCGCTCGGTGACACTTGCTCAGAACCCATTACCTCACCTTTCCTACACCTTAGACCACCCTGCTTCTTTATTCCATTAATATTCCTAGGCCCTGCGCTCAGGGAGGTGGATTTGGGACCTGTTCTTCCACCTCCTGGCTTGGGCGGCCTCATGGAAAAACTCCTTCTTCGTTGCAAACCCGCTGTCTCAGCAGTCGGCTTGCTGTGTCCGGGCAGAACAAGCCTGCGGTGACATCATCTGGGGCTGCCTTCCTGAGGACGACAAGCCTCACCGCTGCCGTGTGTGCCCAGGGCCCACGGGCTGGCCGAGAGGTGGCTGTCTGCAGGGAGTGTGGATGTCCCTGGGGCGTGCACATGCCCGAGCCCCACAAGGTGCAAGGACAGGACAGAGCCTACGCTGGGTGACGAGTGCGAGGGGCCAGCCCTGAGGGCAACTCTAAATCCAAGCCTGGCCTCAGGCATTATAAAGCCCTACAATGACCTTCAAGAAAGGAGGAGAGAACATATTTATGTAATGATTCATTAGTGTGATTTAAAATATTTAAAGCCTTTACACATTTAGACATGTCATTTAGACCATTAGTACTCAATCCCAGGGCCCCCCGTATGTTAGGTGTGAACCTGGGTCACGGTTACTTTTGTCCACAGTTGTTCTGGTCACTACTGCTATGTAAATATTGTCCCCAAACTTAGCAGCATAAAACAACCATTTTATTATACCCATGGAATTTGTGGGACAGCAATTCAGACAAGGCACAACTTGACTTCACTTCAAAATGCCTGGGAAGTTGGGAAGATGCACGGTGGGTGGGGTGGCTCAATAGACGGGGCTGGAGTCAGACGGAGGCCCCACTCACAGTCTGGTGGCTGATGCTGGCTGCCAGTTGGGATCTTAGCTGGGGCCACCACCTGTAGCCCCTAAACATGGCCCAGGCTTCCTGCAAGGACAGAGGCTGCAGAGAAGTTGGACTTCTGACCTGCTGGGTCAAGATGCAGAGGCAAGTATGTCAGAGAACAAAGTGGTAACAGCAGCACCTTTTGTGACCTTCTGTTCATTCCAACCAAGCCACAATCCCACCCAGATTCAAGGGGAGGAGATGTAGACGCCACCTCTCAATGGGAGGAGTAGCAAAGCATTTGGGGGGGCTGTGTTTTAAAACCACCACACAGTTTAAGAGTATTAGCCATCCTGGTGTTGGAATGGCTTCTAGGACTCTATCTAACGGCAATACAAAGAGCATTGTAAGGACATTTGAAATCCCCTAAACTTTTAGAGCTTATGTATGGAAGAAACTTAGTAGAGGTTTTCCCCATATTTGACAAAAATTCTAAAATTCATATCATTATCCGTCCTGAGTAAGTTTTAGTCATAAATATTTAAAGCTGAAAGTTTTCTAAAATATTCATAACAAAAGATGATTTTTTCATCAACCATACTAGAGGAAAGACTGAATTTAATTTTTCTATTCTCTCTATAGAAAGTATTATAACAGTGTTATGGCATGGAGAGGTGATAAAGAAGATACTCCTCAAAAAGTGCAGGTGTTCCAGACTATTGTGTCATCCTATGAGCATCTTTGATAATACTCTAGACACAAAGCAGTAATTAATCTCAATGAACGAAAGACCAACACGAGCAAGAGCAGTCCAGGAAAACCTCAAGGCAGATGAGGGAGAGACGGGATTTCTGCAGGTAGAAGGAGAATGAGGCCTGGGGCAGGGCTGGGTCAACTGGTCAACCCACACTGTCAGTTACACCCACCGTTAGTTCTGAGTGGCTCGATCTCCACGCTGATTGGTCAGTGCCTCCCATAGCAGTTGGAAAATGTTTTGCATATCATCCCTGCCTAGAGTGAACAATATTAGCAAAGACACCAGAAAGAAATAATCTTGGCCTGTTTATCAAACGGTAAGGAAATGAGACTGGCTTAAGTCTGGCTGGGACGGTGACAGGAAATACAGCTGTTTGACTGTAGTGAAACCAATGGTGAATGATGTTGAAAGTCAGCAAAGGAATTTTGTACGTAATCCTGAAAGTAGCAGGGAATGATGAACGTTTTCAGTAAAATAATGACCAAATTTCTATTGTATTTTAGGAAGATTACTACAGTAGTTGAATGAGGAGAAAGTAGGAAGACCTTTTTAGGAGGTGGCTGTAACATTCCACACATGAACCCTCAGAGGTGAACTAGGTAGACAGGAATGTGGGCTCATGTGTGTGTCACTTCCCTCGAGTTTTGTATCATTAGCTTATGATGGATCTTGCAAGGACGACCTCTCCTGCCGCACTTGAAATCCTCTCGTCCCCTCCTTCCAGCCACTGCTGCAGAGAGCAGGTCTACCCCACCAGCTGCACGCTGGGCAGCCTGAGAATGCCTCCTGTCGCCAGGGGATGTCCAGCTTCTCTGATGCAGTGGCTGGCTCGGAGGCCCCAGGCAACCTGGGGGACACTCACACCCACCAAGACATGTGGTCCGTTAACACCCCAGTGAGCAACCGCCAACCTGGCAATGGGAGCTCTGGGGTATGAGCTTCCCCTGTCCTCCCACGGTTCTTCAGAGAGCTTCAGTGGTTCCTGTGGGGTCAAGTGGTCGCCTATAGACACGGCTGCCTAGACTGTGCCGCTTTCCTCCCCAGCCTGCCACCTCATCACTCCCCAGTGACCCTCTTTCCTACTCCCTGTGACCACATCGCAGATAAATTGCCCATGCAGAAGCTTGGTCCTACACTCTTCTTTGGAGGAACACAGGCTAAGACAGAACAGGATCCTCCAATTCTTTTGAAGCCACCATGGTGGAATCTCACATAACGTTCTGCCCCCATCGAGGGCACTGAATTCTCATGACTCACCTTTATGTTCAATAGATAATTTCTCTTTTTGACCTTTTAACTTTTAAAAATGAATTTGCAGAACTGATATAGTCTCATATACTCAGCAGTGGTTTTAAGCCTATGGGGGAGGTAAGTTAGAATACTGAAAAGAGCAGAGAATTTAGACTCATAAGATCTAGATTTGAGCCTTACTACCTACTAAGTGAATGGCCAAGGACAAATCATCCAACTCTGCGAGACTTTAGTGTCTGTCCCCAAGTGTAAAATAGGGACATTCGTAGCCACCTACGAACCTTCACAGGGTTCTTATAAACATCAAACAGGACCACACACGTGTGCCGAGCATTTGCTATTTTGAGCGCTCAGCTCCTGCTCTCCCTTCCTCTTGGTTATATGACCCTAATATTTGTTTGGATTAATGTTCACCTTTCCCCAGTGCACCCCGTGTTTCACCACCCCACCGTCATCTCCAGCTTCAGGGTAGTCCCTGGTTCACTTAATAGAAAGGGACTATTTGCCGTTTTCCTGGCCATGATGATAGAAAGAAAGCAAGGAGAAGTTTGTGGGGGTAGCTGAGAAGGAACTCCATCACTCTTCCTGAGAGAACAATCAAAGGAGACAGCACGTGGCGCCTGGACTGCTAGAAATCACTTTGTGGCCCTAAGGAGCGTCAGCCTAGAGGAGAAGCAGAAAGGAGAGCTGGTGAGTTTGACCCAGGAGCCAGGTCACAACCAAAGCTTGCAGGATCTCTGTCCTTTTCAGATAAGTGAGTTATTAAATATTAATTAAATTAAATTAGATTAAATATTTGACTTAAGCCCATATGAGTCAGGCTTTCTCTTATCTGGGGCAGAGAGACTCCCAACTGATAGAGCATACAAACGAGCTTTGTAACTTGCAAGTCACTATAAAAACATTTGCTTCTATTATTCTTACTACTACTAATTAGCAATAATTACCTATGGTCCATGGACCAGATTGAGAAAATTCCTAAGCTTTTATTTTCATTTAGTACCTTCTTTTGGAAAACATTTAGATGCCTGCCTTGCAGTATGTTCAGGACTGTGTCCCGACAAGAATAATTATATATGTTCAAAGAAACAGGCATTTGAAAACCTGTAAAACTGAGTGAGTTTTAAAATATAAAACCCGCAAGTCATAAAAGTAAAGGTGGTCGAATTTGGCTAGATAAAAATAAAAATACAAAAACTGCTATGTAGTGAAACAAAACCCAGCTGTGCCATAAACAAAGCTAAAATATAAGTAAAAAACCAGGGGAAACGTTTGGAACTTATATGACAGATTAATGGTTGATATTCTCAATATATAAATAGTTCTTATAAATCAATAAGAAAAGAATAAATCTTAATAGAAAAATAGATAAAATATTTGATCATAAAATTCAAATAATGTACGAAAAGATGCTAAACTTATGATCAAAGTCAAGGGTTATCAACTTAAAAAAGGTTACTAATAATTATACACATGAAGTCTCAGACACTGTAAAAATTATCTCTTAGAGAACCATGTATAAAAATGACCATTATAAAGTTAAAAAATAAAAACAAAAGTTAACAGTAGAAAATTGGTAAAATATGTTATGATATATTCTTATATTAAAGTATGTTGGGGCCATTAGAAAGATCAGGTAGGCCTTTACAAGTTACTGTGGAAAGAGGTGTGATATATTCATTGTTCGAGGTTATGAAGCAGTGTACACATTGATCCCGTGTATATTAAAATACATATTAACATATGCATCTACAGTCAGAAAGTAAATTACAACTATAAATAATGGTCATCTCTCAGGTATAGGATTACACAGAGACCATTTAATGTAAAGTTTTTATAAGATTCAAATAGTTCAAAAACATGTTTATTTTAAAATAAATAATTGAATAAGTGAAATTAGAGATAAATCTGAGTTGAGTAATCTGTGACCCCCTTGAAGGGTCACTGGCTTCTGAGTGCCAATGAAGTGCCCAGCAGGTGACAGTCCTGTCATGTTTGGGAAGGTGGAAGGAAGGAAGGAAGAGGGAAGTCGAGGAGGGCTTCCCAGGGAAGGATGAAAGAAGAGAATAACTCCCTCAACCAGAAAACTAGGAATGGAGATATTTCTCAGGGAGCTTTGGGTGGATGTAAGGGAATAATTTCTATGCTCAGTCTCCTGTCCCAAAGCTCTTGTCGAAGGTGTTCAGAATTGGCTCCTTGAGAAGTCTGCGCAGTCATCTTTGTTACTTTGTCAGGTCCTGGCTGTGAGGACCAGGGGCTGCCTCTGCTCCCTGCACGGCCCAACCAGGGATTACTTGCACCTGATCTCACCCTTCCCTTGCCCTTTGGACTTGGCTTTGGACTAACTTGACAACACGTCAGCCCGACATGAGCAGCTCGAGTCTGGTGTGATCCATGAGCGAATGCCTCTGCCGAGCACCAGCCGAGCTCTCCCACTTCCTCCCCGCCCCCAAAACTGGAGTTTGGAGTCTCTACATAACAAGCCACAGGAGGAATGACACAAACAACCTTTGGGCTCCCTCATTCCAAGCCTTGCAATCAACCTAGATGAGTTACGAGGAAGTTCTCTTGGTTGAACCCTAGCCCTGTGCGACTCAAAAGATCGGAGACGGCAGTCCTGACACCAGGGGCCTCCTGGCCTCACGTGGCGCGATTCCACTCTGCCCCGCACGTCTCTGGCCGCCACGTCTCCAGCTGCGGGATTCCAGGGCTGCAGGGGTTTGCGGACAGTGAATTCTGACACCTTTGCTCTAAATAGAAAATTGAAGATGAAGATGTAACACTGAAAATTTTCACTGTAATACCTAGTGTTGTTGATATCAGTAGTGTCTCAGTGCCACCATATAATCAAACGATGTGATGTGTTCATTCATTCATCAAACATTTATTGAGCATATGCAATATGACAGGCCCTAGAGCAAAAAAAAAATGAAACCACACAGCAGTAGCAAGGGGCCATATAACCTAGCAATGATTTTAAGCCTTACATCCTTAGTCAGTTTGGCCCTGCCCACTAGACCCCTGGCCCTTGGTTTTGGCTACCCTTGTGCAGAGAATTATGACATCATTGCAAAAACAGTTTACTGAAGACTCTCTTGCAACATTCAATTGCAATCATTGGTAAACCCCGAGAATACAGCAGATGTGGATCACAGTCATGTGGAAGACCTTAGAGAGTTAGGACATGTAAGAAGCTTTCCCTTTACATTTCATCTGCCACTGGAATCTCAGCCTCTTAACATCACTCACAGTAAGTTCTGCCGGGAAGAAAAAGGCACTTCATCTCTTAGACACCTAGACCCAGTTCTAATCCCTGGGATGATTGAGGATAATCCCACTGGCTCAGCGAAGATCCAGCTAGTTAGTTTTGGTTTCAAGGAAAGCACGGCTCTGTGTTAGCAGACTCTTGAACCAGCACGTCTCAGGAACAGTGTGCCTGAGGATGGGCCTTCCTTGTGTCAGAATGGCCACCCGTCCACGTCTTGAGGAAGCGTTTGGCAAAGCCTCAAGTCATGCAACTGTTGGCGTCATGATCACTGACACCACTGACAGCCAGCTATGCTGCAGGTGTGTCTGTCCCGGCCTGGGCCAAGGAGGCTGCGTCTGCTGAGGGACACTGTCCTGAAGCCGAGGAAGAGGACAGACCCAGGCTGTCCCTTTTGTCCTCGCAGTCCCTGAGGTCCCCTTCTGCACTCTGAAGGTAAAATCTTCTGTCTACACTGGAGATTCATATTATCAAGAGAGAAGGTACAGCCTGGTTTTTTAAAAAATCTGGGTGACATACTGGTCACTTAAAATCAAAATGTTGGCTGGTCATTTATGCCTATTATTCCAGCACTTTGGGAGGCCAAAGAGGGAAAATTGCTCGAGGCCAGGAGCTCGAGAGCAGCCTGGGAAACATAGGGAGAGCTCATCTCTATGAAAAAAATTTTTAAAAATCATTTGGGCATAGTGGTGTCCCCCTGTAGTCCTAGCTACTTAGGAGGCTGGGGCAAAAGGAGCGCAGAAATTTCCAGTGAGCTATGATTTTGCCACTACACAGAGCAAGACCCTGTCTCAAAACAACTGAGAAACAAAAATGTTGAAGGAAGTTCAAAATTTAGATGGAAGAGAAATTATACTAAACTTAACATCTTACACAAAAATTAACTCAAAATGGATCATAGACCTAAATGGAAAGTATAAAACTATAAAATCTTTTGAAGCAATCACAGGAGAAATTTTTTGTGATCTTGGGTTATGCAAAGAACTCCCAGATAAGACATCAGAAACATGACTCAAAAATGAGCAGCTTATAAATTGAATGTCATCAAAATCAAACATTTTTGCTTGGCAAAAGATAAGAGAATGAAAAGAGAAGCTAAGGCCAGGCGTGGTGGCTCATGCCTGTAATCCTAGCACTCCAGGAGGCCGGGGTGGGAGGATTGCTCGAGGTCAGGAGTTCGAAACCAGCCTGAGCAAGAACAAGACCCCGTCTCTACTATAAATAGAAAGAAATTAATTGGCCAACTAATATATATAGAAAAAATTAGCCGGGCATGGTGGCGCATGCCTATAGTCCCAGCTACTTGGGAGGCTGAGGCAGGAGGATTGCTTGAGCCCAGGAGTTTGAGGTTGCTGTGAGCTAGGCTGATGCCAGGACACTCACACTAGCCTGGGCAACAAAGTGAGTCTCTGTCTCAAAAAAAAAGAGAAGAGAAACTAAACCAGTAGAAATTATTGTAAATCACTACAATGAAAGATGTGTGCTCAGAATACAATACAGACTCTCAAAATTCAATAGAAAAACACAAATGGCGCAATTAAAAAGTGAGTAAAAGATGTGAACACTTCACTAAAGATGATATAACATGGCAAGTAAGCACATGAAAAGATGCCCAACGCCATCAACAGCCACTTGGCAAAATGCAAATTAAATCAAAGTGAGATGCTACTACACACTTATTAAGTAGAATGGCTTGATTTTTTAAAATAGATAAATAATAACTCATAATACCAAGTATCTTAGTATCTTAGTCTGTTTTATGTTGCTATAACAGAATAGCTGAGATTGGGTAATTTAGAAAGAACAGAAATTTACTTGTTACAGTTCTGGAGGCTGGGAAGTCCAAGAGCATGGCACTGGCATCTGGTGAGGCCTCTTGCTGCATCCTCACATGGGTGAGATGGGCATGTGAGAGTGAACTAAACTATAATTCATAACAGACCCACTCTTGTGATAACTAACCCACTCCCATGATAACTCATTAATCTGCTACCCAGTAATACATTATTGACCCATAAAAGGACTGATCCACTCATGAGAGCTGAGCCCTCATGGTCCAATCTCCTCCCGAAGGGCCCATCTTTCAACAAAGCTGATTATGCCCAACACATGAACTTTTGGGGGCAACTGGACTGAGTTATACTGCTAAGAATGCAAATCGATACAGTCTCTGTGGAAAACTGGCGGCTTTTATTAAGTTAACTTGCAATCCTATTCATAGGTAGATTAATGAAAACCTGTCCACATTAAAAAACCCTACATGAATATTTATAGCAGCTCTATTTATACTCGTGAAAAAACTGGAAACAACCCAAATATCCTTCAAGGGATCAATGGGTAAGCTGTAGTGCTTCCATACAATGGAACACTACTCAGCAACAAAAATGAATGTGCAACATTGTGGATAAGTCTGAGTAAGTCTGAC